GGGAGGTGACTGGAAAGCAAAGTTTTATCATCACAGCTCTCCAGCACCAGATCACCCCTGGTTCCAAACCCACTCGCTGCCCCATGGCCTGAGCCACAACCAATGAGCACAGACAGGGCTGAAAGGCAACCAATCATTTATTATAAAAAGCTCAAAATGGTTTTTTTTTTTCCTCCTGGTACCTAAATTTTCATAGTTTCTCTGCTTGTCTAGAAGGACAGGAATTTCTCTGCAATAAGAACAAAGATGCTGGCTGTGTCTGTAGCGTGCCCGGCTCAGCGGAAGGGAAATGCTTGTTCATTATTTGTGGCCATAATTAGTACAGGACACTTGTTAAAGGATAAACTGTTTGCTGAGCAATCACCAAGGGAGATATGAGGCTCTGGGAGCAGCATGGGAGAGCACTTGCTCGAAGGAATGTGGTCGTACAGGAAAGCAGCGCAAAGCACAGCCGCGGGTGTGAACTCTGAGGCAATATTTTTTTTTTATTTTTTGCCCTCCTCGTAAATGGATTAGAGACAACCTGAATATCTTCCTCAATTAACACCATTTCCTATAGATGGAGTAATTCACTGGTTTAAATAGGAAATAATGCAGCACAATTTGTTTAAATGACTCATCCAACAGAGTTAGGCTGATTCAGSCCTCTGGTTTATGCCTGTCCTGTAGGAAGGGATTCACACAAATGTGCTGCCACTTTTGGCTGTACCTTTTGCAAATCACCAGGGCCCTGCTTAACAATTTTTGTTCTCTTATCATTTCAAGTTTGCCAGAAATGAGGCACAGACCTGTCAGAGTGATGTAGGTGCCAAGGAATTTTCTGGAGAGATCATCTCGAGTGGGATTGCAGGACAAGCAGCACAGCACAGGGTGTGAAGGGCAGGTCCTGCCTGACCAGCCTGAYCTCCTTCTGTGTCCAACTGACCTGCTCAGTGCTTGAGGGAAAGGGATTTTGTCTTCCCAGGCTGCAGTAAAGCCTTCAACACAATGGTGAGTCAGTGGTTGGGCTAAATTATCTTGGAGGCCTTTCCCACCCTTAAAAATTCCATGGTTCTACAGCTGAAGTGTAGATAAATTATCTTGTTGATAAATTATCTTGTTGATAAATTATTTTGCAGCTTACAGCAGTTGGATGCAATGAAGAGCCTATTGCAATTTTAAACTTTTCTTTTCCTCGTGAATTGTTTATTGTAAAAGAAAAATGGTGCCACCCAAAATGGATCTTTATGCTCTGGTTCATAAATCTCTGTGGTTTCTCTCCTTGTCTAGAAAAATAGGAATTTCTTTAGGCTGCTATAGATCAAAATTAATGTTTATCTGTGTTCAAGGCTGAGAACAAGACTGGAACACTGGCACAGCCTCTGCAGACTCCTTATGATTTCCTACTACATTTAACAAATGAGATGTTCTGGCACAAACTCTGCAGTCATTTCAGTGCAAACAGCACTTGGAGGGTTAGACTGACCAGGAAGATAACCCTGAAATAGTGGTATATTCTCCTTTTGGAGAAAGGAATTAGAGATAATCCTTACAACCCCATTCCTAGGCAAACCTGATGAATSCTTAGGAAGGCACAAACACTCCAGACCTCACCTGATCCATTTTCACACCATCTCACTGGTTTTCTTCCTCTTCCATGTGTGCTATTAACTTCCATGATAAATCTTTTATTTCCTACTCTCAGCTGTTGCCAGACTTTGAACTCCTCAGTGCAAATCCAGCTTTGGAGCACAGAGTTTGTCCCTGCACTCCCTTTCTCCAGGGCTGAGTTCTCTCAGCTCAGTCAGGCTGTGCTTGGTCTTTTTTCCCCCTGAATGTGCCCAGATCCTGTTCTTTGGTGTCATTCCTGCTCACACACGTTCTCTGAACTCTTGCTGGCTGTTTGCATAACCAGGAGCATATTTCCTGGCTGGCGTGTGGCCCTGGATCTGTTTGTGAGCTGCAATCCTGGATGGGGGCGAGCTGCTGCTCAGAGCTGTGGGCTCCTGGGGGTTTCACTCCTTGTCCCACTGAAAGTCACCTTGTGACTCAATTTCTGGCCTCTCCCCCACCCCAAATACCACTGCACTCAGAGCTTTTGCAAAGATAACGTTCCCAGATGTGATCCTGATGTTGATCTGAGGGAAAGTGCCAGATATCCATTACCCACTTCAGCTCCTCTCAAAAGTTTCTAAACATCATCCCCCTTCTCACCATGAAGCTGTAAACTGAGACTGTCTTGAAAGCCAAGTTTCCAGGATATGGAATAATTTATGGAGCCTGAACAGTAATAATGCCCCAAATGCCCTTTGAGCTCTAGGTTTTGATATTTCTGTATATCCATTTTTTGTCCATCTGACTTTCAGATTCAGTGTGGGTTTCTTGCAGGCTACAATTCTTCCTCCAAGCCATCTATCTATTGCCAACTGATCATCCTTAATGTCTCAGGCAAGTCAGATTATTTTTCTGCTTTTCCCTCCTGCATTTGCCGTTTCTATTGTTGACATTTAATGGCCATTGGGCACCAGAGCTGCACTTTCTTCATTCATTGTGCCTTTGGTCTCTTCTACCATCAGACCTGCTCCCTCTGCTCTCTCTGTTCTCTCTTTTGGACCTTCCAGCTCATCTGTAGGTAATTTGTGCAGTTCAGACCTAAGGGAGGAGATTTTCTGTGATGCTGAGACAAGGACAGASAAAGCCCATTTGTTGCCTGCACACTGCAGAAATGGCCTTTTTTTGGCAGAATGTAGAGGTAKCCAGAAATCAACCTTGCCAATGGCTGGAAGATGCTCCAGGTGTGTTTTTCTTTAGCTCCCTCACGTAAGGGTGGTGCTACTCTGAGTGCCATGGCATGAAATAAAAAAAATATGGTAAAAAAAAGTGGAAGAAATGTGGTGATGCCAATTARTATAGGCTAACAAACCTTTCTAACTTTATTTAATTCAAGTACAAAGCAATTCCTGTGCAAGAAGTGGAGAATCTGAGCTTTCTTTTCCATGAGAGCAGCTGTTTCTTTTCTATAGAGTTCAGATGCTCTGACCATTTCAAAATGGAAATACAGTGAATAGTGAAAASATGCATTTGACACTTCCACTCACACATGCAACAGAACCCATGGCCTCCTGTAAGCAGAAGGAAATAATATTCTCTAACAAGGCTATGATGTGGTTTCTCCCTGACAGAGAGAGGCAAAGGAAAAGAAGGAAAATATTCATTTCAGGGGGAGAAGAAGGAGAGACTTCCATCAAGTCTGTCTTGTGTTGTCAACAATGGAGAGAAATATTTCATGGYTTTTTATAACTTTACTAAATCATATGGGAACATCAGGCTCAGAATAAAGAATAGCATGGAGGAAAAGAATGACTCAAAAGTTGATCTGTCTTACTGAAAGCATGGCTAAACTCTGGGCACGCACTATTCCTGAAACTGTTTTCCTACTCTTAAGGTTTATCCTTGAAGTGTCTGACTGGCTACAGCTATTGGAGGAAATGAATGTTGGGAGTCTGTACAGGATGTTTGCAATTCTTCTAGTGGTACAAAAATAACTTTCCCAGTTTTGATTGAGTCCTCATAAAGATCATTTTGACTGCATGTAATGAAATTTGGCAAATTCCTGAAGATATTTTCTATTTAACTACCAGCCTTGGAAACAAGATTGTCAATGTACATCATTTATAYATCAGCTGTTAGGAGTGATAGACTTGCAAAGAAGCAGCATTTTCCTTCATTCTTACTGCTGCAATTTTAAAAATCAGTGTAGTAATCTTCACTTTTAAATTAGACTTCATTCCTTGCTCTTGGATTTTTTTTTTTTTAGGTTCAAACTCTCAGAGGAAGTTTNGATTTTTTTTTTTTTAGGTTCAAACTCTCAGAGGAAGTTTATTTTGTTCTGGAAATAAGACATTTTGCTCCTTTTTTTTTTTAAAAAAAAAAAAGTCCTAGATTCAATTTCTCCGTAAAAATTGTGGAACTAAATTTGATACCCATGTAAATTTTCACTATTTCTTCTAAAAGCACAAAAGGTGGTGGTGATGCAAGAGTTGCTCTTTGGAAAGGCCACRAATTAGAACCAGTCTGTAAGATTTCAGAAAGTTTATGCTGTATCAGACTTTCTCAGCATTCCCACTCCCTCTCACAAAGGTTTAAAGGTATGTAAAATACAGCCATGTGAAATATTCATAAAGGCAAATAAAGCAATAGCTCACACTCCTGTGGGTTCGTTTCCCATGAGTTGAGAACCAAAAAGGGTAAATGCTTTCATCTTGCACCATTTTTAGACAGAAAAATTCAACCCAMATATTACTGAACAAGTTTCAGAAAGGAAATTCTCCTCCTTGGTGGGAAGTGATTTGCTCTGTAATAATCCACACCTGACCTAGTTAATCTGCCCCATCTTTGGGAACCAGGGCAAGGCCAATAATTTTATTGAGAAGGTGTCATCTGAAAAACCATAATGAACCCTGTGGTGTGAGCAGTGAGGTCCTCTCCATGGAGTTAAAACACTGGAAAACATTCCTGCTGCCAGGTGATCCATGTCMCATCCCAGGGCTGGAAGGGGTTACCCCATGGGAGCTGAGTGAGGAGTGAAAGGCTGAGCTCCCTTCTGCTGGCACCAGTCACTAAAAGGCTGTTGAAACTCAAATTCTCTCTTACAGCTACAGAGGAGAAAGGATCAGGCAAACCTGATTGTCAGCTTGTGTCAGCCAAAAAAACCACTCAAATTTATGCAACCAGTTCAGGCTTCCCCAAGTGATGCAAAACAACRAAAAAGTGGGAGAGTCTCACTGGAACTCAGGGTTTTCAGAGCTGCATGAAGAGCAGAACTCCAAGGCCAGGCTATTTGGGAAGAGYTTTGTGACAACTCTGGGAGAAGAAAAGACTCTAGAAGAATTTTTTTGTCTCCTGAGAATGTAGTAGTTTAGCAAAAGGTGGTGAAGGTGGGAGGAGGGTCYGTGCTGGGAGCTTAAGGGTTAAAGGCAGTGGGAGGGTGACCTTGAAGGCATCTGCTAATTAACGAAGCTCATCAGTTTAAAAAGGCACGGCTGTGCTCTGCAGTAAATCTCCTTGTGCTGTCCCAGAGCAGTGCAGCTCCCTGGTCCTGCTGTCCCTGTGATCCCATGCCCTGGATGCTCAGAGCTGTGTCCTCTCCTCTCTGCCAGGTGGAACAGGTAAGAGTTTGGATGCTGAATGCCTGCTCATTTCAGGCTTTATTTTATTTTATTTTATTTTATTTTATTTTATTTTCCCCTCCCCCTTAAGAGTATCTTTGCATTTCCATCAGGATTCTATCAGTCTTGGAATGTGCCCTCCCCATCTAGTTATGGAACATTCTGGAGTGTTGCTTATGGGCAGGCAAATGGTGTAAGAGGAGCCAGGCTGGGCATGGAAAAAATTCAGGGACTTAGGAGAGAATATTGCTCATTTTTGGAGGGTTTGGTACCAATATTGCATGGACCTTTAGAGCTTCTTTATTCTAAAGTGGCACAGGGGTTTGCTTTCAGAGACTATTTGCTGTTTTTACAAAGTTACCATCTTCATGTTTGAAATATCTTCCTCTTAAAGGAATCAAGAAAAAGGGAAAATGCTCTTGATGTTTTTATCTGATGTTTTGCTGCAGAACCCTGTTTTCTACACCTTGGGATATCTTATGAAATAGATGTAGATTTTTCCTAAGGTATCAAAGGAGTTTTGTGGCACCTGGGATAGCAAKTAAAAGGGCTGAACATCCCTCTGGATTGATCAACTATTTTAGGCTTTCTTTTGACTGCAAAACTGAGTCATGAAAACTTGTTTCCTAGACTAAATTTTAAGGTGTTTACTGGTGGTGGGGAGAAGAATTTGTACTTTACAAGCAAACAAATATCTGTTTYCTTTGCCCAGCACAAACCCCCTTCCTCTCCATGGTTCCTTCTCTAACTCCCCAATTTTCTTGCATGTTTTCAAAATAAGAGTCTGGAAGGATTCCCAGTTTGCTCCACTCAGGCATCATCACAATTATAATTTCACATTTGGCCTTCAGCAGAACAGAGTGTCTCATCTCTTAGAAAGGAATATTCATAGGAAAACAAATAAAAGCACTCACCAGCTGGTGCCTGGTGAATTATACTGTTTGAAGTTCAAGGATATTGAGTGTAGTACATGCTGATTGCCATTTATGTGGATGTTTGACTGGCATCATTTGACTCTTTCTAGCACTAAATTCAGACAGRTAGAYACCAGGGTAGTTTTTGTTYAAGCTCCCATGAAYTTTCCTTKTTCCCYTGATTTCTTCTTGCCAGCAAATGGYCTGGGTTGGTTCCCCTCTTCCTTGATCCCACAGAATTGCTCTCTTTAGCCTTTTATAAAACATAGGTGGAGGCAGCAGCTGGCTGCCAGGGATGGTCTGATTGCAGGGYGATTCCAGCAAGGAGGAGATGGGAGATTTGCTTGCCTGCTGTCAGCCCTTAACCTGCTGGACAACTCTCCCCCTTTCCTCCTCCTCCTCTTCTCCCATCACCMAGAAAGTGGCTTAAAAAACAACAGGTGAGGGTTAAAAAGAGAGGAAAATGCTCTGGTGCTTTCCTGCTGGTGTAAGAGGAATCGTGTCACAACTTCCTTCACTGCTGCTAGGTCACAGCTTGCAACATGGAAATGCTGTCTGTGTTGGAAGAAAGTTTTAAAAGTTTGCATGGGGGAATACTTTCCCCAGAACCATGGGGGATTTGGAGGCCTGGTTTCTACTGAACTAGACAAACAATGGAATTGCATCAGTTTCCTCCAGGATTTAGTAAAAATTAGACATTTTGGTGCTAAGACTGCACTGTGATAGCAATAAAAATCCTGGTTTTTGAAGAACAAAATCTCTCCCAACTTGGCTGCTTAGTCTTTCTCAATACTGAAATATTTGCATCAATTGGGGGCTCATAAAGAAAATGAAGAACAAGATGCTTAAACGAAACAATTTTGGAACATCTTGCCATGTGATTTATAGAAATGCCATACAAATTCATACATTATGCTATGCATTACAAAAGCCTTTGAAACACCCCCACTCAACAGGTTGTTTTTTTCTTCTGTTTCCTTTTGCTGCATCTTAATTCTGGGTATTGAGAATGGTAAATGTACAGACATAATTGGGTTTGAATGTTCTGTACTAAATCCTTTATTCATATCCCTATGCAAAGCAGAATATGCTTTTATTCCCAATTTATTGATGCCTGCATATCTCTTATCAGCTGTGCTGAAGCTGGGTGTATAAAGCACCTGGCTGTCAGCTCTGGCTRTTACCTAGAAACATCACTCAACTTTTAGTGCTCTTTCACCCACCGGTCCCCAGGTTTATATTAAAAACCTTAAMAGCAACCTTTTGGTTTTATCAGAGAGGCAAAGGAAAAGCAAGCTCAAATACTTTTGTTACACATATTTATTTTGTATCAGCCTCAAACTGCTGAGACAAGAATTTGGTGGGGTTTTTTTCAGGCTGCAGTGCCATAAATCTCCAGGCTGGCTCTTTCAGTTTATCGAGGCTGAGTGGCTGTGGTGATCCTCCATAAACAACTCAGACGTGTGGAAGATGAATTTTAACGAGTGTTCTCAAAGCTAAGTGCTACCTCTTGCTTCTACACCTCAGATTCACCCATTTTTTTTTTATTTTTATGTGATATCAGAGGCTGCTCCGTGGTTTTTTCCCCCTAATTACCTACACTCAAGCTGGATTCTGTCAAACYCAGAGGACAGGGAAGGTAGCTGTGTACACAGAGCTGGGGTTTCCACCTGGCCTGACTGATGCAAGGGTTTAAACTCCCCGTCAAAACACCTGGGCTTTTCAAGGGGAGGGATTAGGAACTTGYGCCTAGGGATTGTTTCGTTTGGTTTTGCCCGTGCAAAAGGCTTTTGTGTTTCGTGTCCTCTCTGTAAAATGTTCAACCTTGTTCTAGGAAAGGCTCCAAAGTAAATTAGAGSGGCCTCAGGGGCTGTTTTAAATCATAGCAGCTGAGCCTTAGCCCAGCAGTTGACGCTCCACCCTGCGTCTCTTCCACCAACACTCTCTGTAATAACCTCAGCTCTTCACCTTCTCACACAGCTCTTTGCTTTGCATCACTGGCAGGTTTCCCTAGGTAGGCTGGAAAATCATCAGATCTGCATCACAACAAGCAAAGAGAACGAGAAGCAGAGCCCACTGGCCTTGCTGGGAAGCAGGCAGTCACCAGTTACTGTAATTCAGTATTCCTGTTTATATTCCGGAGCACGCAGACTGACGGAGTAGGAAAAACACAGCTACAATAATTGCTCCTGGGTATTGTGCTTTCATTGACAAACACAACCACTCCTGAAGCTGCTGAGGACAATTTCCCTGAACTCCCAGCATTGTGCAATTGCCCCTATGCCTTTTTTGGGGTTTCCACTTTGCTCAGCTCTGGCAAATACCAGACAGGGCAGGGAAATTGATGGATCAGTGGAATGATCCAGTACCAAGAAATCCATGGTTACAAAAATAGGCAGTTATTCTTATCATTTCCTTGTTCTGACACAATTTCCTGCYCTCCTCTCAGGCTGTTCTTCAGAARGCCARGATGACAGATCTGCTTTGGAGCCTGTCAAACCCCTGTGCAGAGCACCTCTCCTGCCTTGGAGAACAATGGTTGGGAGCAGGGCGAGGAGCTGTGCTGTGCTAGCAGCCTTTGATCACACCTGGCACATCTCCAAACAGGGCCTGCTCGTGGGCACTGCTGGGCTTGAACATTTCTGATCCTATCACACCAAAGTGTAGGAGCTGTGCTCTGCTTGGTGAGTTTTATTACCCCTCCTACAGGTTTGGTCATCTCCAGCCTCCTTGGAGCAGCTCAGAGCAGGAGAGGGGTGTGGGGACTGGAGATGCTCCCAAATGAGGCAGCTGGGAAGGTGAAAGGGTTTAATGGAGAGGGTTCTGCTGGTGCAATTTGTTCTGACAAGAGAGGATTAATGAGATCTCCCAGCTGCAGCCCCGCTGACAGGGCTGTGTGGGATAATGTTTGGCACGGGGGGAGCGTGAAGATGGAATTGGGAACCTCCCTGGCAAGTGGAGGCTTTCACAATTCCATCAGGATCCTTTGGGATCCATCAGCTGGTGGCTCTAAGGATGTGTGTGACATCTGGCTTGGCTTTGCATGCTTGTCACATTGAAATTGTCATTCTCAAACCGTGTTAGGCTGAGTTCTCGGCTCACCTTCGGTAATTTCTGGGTCTTTTTGTATTAAAAAGGAATTGAAATGAAAAGGCTGAAGAGTCCATAGGTCAGTGTTYTGTAAAGCAAAGTCTTTCTGTTTGCTCATGGGATAACACTTGGAGAGCAGCAGCAGGTGAGGCTCCAAGCAGATCCGTGGCCATGCCTAAATGTAAACACTTGTTCTGATCCAGGAACCTTAATATTGAATAACTCATTCAACATCTAGGAGCGTGTGCAACATTAATATCCCTTAGTGTCAGCAGTTCTAAGTTATTCTGATTAAACTGGAAATTTGTGTCACCAACGGGGATGGGACCTGCTGTGCTCCAGTTTTAGGCTATGGATTTCAGCTTAGTGAGAGTTTTGCATTGCAAAATTCATTTCATTATGCAATGAAGTGATAAAAAAAATCCAAAACATTAACAGCAGCAAAAAAAAAAAAAGGCAAGTAGATGCTTTTCCTGATTCAAGTCAGTTGTGAGGAATGTAAAGCTTGTTTTTTAGCTATCAATTATTAGTAATCACAGTTGAAAACTCAGCTGTGTTAAAACCTGCATGTGTAACTTTCTTCCTTCAGCTACCCCAGATTGCAMTTTATGAGTAAATGCCAGTTCCAACAGGCACATTTCAAGGTAGGAAAATATTCACTTGAATGTGCATTTTTTCTGAAAATAGAACTTTGCTTTATCAGCCTTCTTTCTGACAATACCTCTGAGTTGTATCTATGACAATGCATTGATCARTGCTGGTAAATTCCTTGGAGTTTCCTGCACACAACTCCTTATTTAAATCCCTGACTACACTTTTGTTCTRGAAGTTATCAGCTGGTCTCAGGAGCCCACAAACCCACAGCTCAGCTCTGCACTACACTTGGGATGAATCAGAAGCTGAAATTTCAAATATTCTAAAAGCTCATTTACCCAAGAAAAAAAAGTCCCCAGCATTGCTCCTCAATGAATTGTCAGGAAAATGACTGCATAGATTCTGAATTACAAGTTCTGTCACAAAATACAGCCTGTTTAAATGGCATTTAAAAGCTAATAATGAATCCTGAGTGGTTGAAATAATTGTCTCTCATCTTTGTTCTTTCTCACCAGGTACAGCTGATGGAAATGTTGTCAGTGCTGTTCAAACGGTGAAGCTGCACACAAACACGGGCAGGGGATTGGAAAAGAGAGAAGAGGAACCTTGAGGTKGTGATGGTTTCATTTCTCTGAAGTYTAAGCTCAGGTTTGCCCATGTGGCATTTCCGCAGTGCAGACAGAAAATGGTCAGTGACATTTCAGAGCAGAGAACCCAGCCCTAAAGAACTATCACACATTTAGCTGATAAGGTGAATCATAGTGATGTTAAATGGGATTAAAAATGTGGTTTTTCAAGGTAACCTGTTGGAACCCAAAGTGAGTAGTCAAGCCATAACTAATTATCATTATTCATTTATTTATCCCAGACTGCTGACATGCTTCAGTCTCCTAAAGTCTTGAGAGYATTAATTTGTGTGATTGCACAGGATGACTTAAACCTGGCAGTTGGTTTAGTTTGCGTTCTGGGAMTGGCTGAACTCAAAGACCTGGGGAGCAAGCACACCCTTGGTCCTGCTCCAAACTCTGCCTGTAAACCAGGTGCTCAGCTGCAGGCAAAATGAGCTGCAACTCAGGGACTTGTAATTCTGTGTTTTGGGGTCACCAGGTCTCTGGGACCCACTTTTTTCAAAAGAAATACAACGTAACACTTAACTCTTGCAGGAGATTTGACTCCGGGGTTTTGAAAAGCCTTTCTCAGCTCATACCTGAGGGGCTGTGTGCCAAGAAATCTGCCAAGCCAAGCACTGTRAATGTCACTAAAGCTGGTGGGTGCAAACAGAAGAGCTCAAAATTGTGATAAGAGGATCTTCAGAGCTTCTGGTGGTGCTTCCARGGAACACCTTCTGCTTGTAAGTGAGGTAAGAGGAGGAATTACTGAAATGCTTTTAACTTGGTTGAACTTCAAAGACTTCTTGTTACCAGAGACACCACCAAGGAGGTCAGGAAAAGGTGTTTTAACCTCGATGGGAGGGAAATTCAGGTGAGATAGTCAGAAGGAATTCTTTCCTGTGAGGATGGTGAGGCCCTGGCACAAAATGCCCAGAGAWGTTTTGGGTGCCCCATCCATCCACTTCAACCCTGGCAGGGCAGGRACTGGAATCAGAGGAGTTTAAGGTCCCTTTCAACCCAGACATTCCATGCCTGTTYTGTGATTTGATCTACTTGTGCCCCCGTGCCCTTCTGTCTCTTCCTTACAACCCTGAAGAAGTTCTGCTGCAAACAGTCTGTGTAGAGGGGATGGGCTGGATATTAATGTTCCACTTGCTGCCTCTCTGAGAGGTTACAGCTGAACCTGTGGTCAGGAAAGGAGCTAAACCCATTATTTTCAGCAGCCTCACAYTGATCCACAGTGGCCAGGTTTTGGTAAAGGCTGATAAGGTAATTTTTTCTTTCAGCAGTCAGAATACAGGGTGAGAAAATGCAGGCAAARAAGAAAAGTTTAAATTTTTTTTCTTTGCTGAGAAGGCAGCTCTTCTTTCCCTTCTGAGAAAATGAGATATTCACACAAAAGATGAGTAGGTTTGATAACGCCAACTATGATTCTCAATTATATATTTTCTCTTCCCTCACAGAAATTGATAATGACATCGTTAATAAAATCCAGAAGGAAAACATTTGTGTGCAGGAACAGAAGATGTACAGTGGCTCCTTGTGAGTATAGAGAGCTAATAAGAAAWCTTGTTTAGATATACACATTTAAAGTCCTCATGCTGAAATGCTTCTGTTTGCTATATTTTTAACTGTACATTTTTTTTTGGATAATGTTTTACAGGGGAATTTAATTAGTGCTCATCTTTAAGTCATACTTAATGATTTACTGTTGTAATAATGCAAATCTTGGCTCTCCATGACTTCAGATTGGATAAATTCATAGAACACCCTCACAYTGATGTTTTGGTGTCATTTCAAAAGTTTCACGTTTCCTCCTCTCTTCCCCTTACCCTGCCATGATGTAAAGTTCCTCTCCCAAGGATCTCCCCAGTATTTTCCCACCTTTCTTTCCTTGGTTAGCAGTGAAGTAACAAAAGCTTGATATTCAGCGTTCTGTGGCCATATCAGCATCCTTAATAGAGTTGCATGATGCTCAAGACAAGAAAATTTCTCAAGCTAATGTTTTCCAGAGCTCATATTTTGGGTAATCTTGTAACTGTAAATCCATTTATCTCTTTACTGCCACTAAGTCGTGGCAAAGCTTTTCTCATTTGGGTGGATATTGGCTATGAGAATTTAATTTCTGTGTCTTTCTCCTGTTGGATCCAAGGAGCACTGTTRCTTTTCATTTTGGCAGAGACACACACGAGCTGCTTTCCTTTGCTACTCCAGAAATCAGCAGCCACCTTTATTAGATTGCCTTTGGGCATGTTTATAGTTTTTTCTCTCTTGGCTGTAGCCTTTGATGAAACATRCACAGAACCATATTTGATACACATTTTGTGGGATCACACACCTAGGATAAAAGCATTTCAAAGACTGTGTTGTTCTAGCTCTAAACTTACCTAATCATCTGAAGCTGATATTTTCCTTGGTTTAGATAAAAGGAAGACAAAAACATTAGTGGCAAAAGTTTTCTTTCTTCTCTTTTTTCAGCTGAGGTCRTTGATTAGTTTTCTGTTCTCAGCCAACTTCCCCTTAGAGTTTTGATTGCATGAGCTGAGTAAAACTGTCCTATTCAGCATTTAGACAAACTTTGGGAAGTTTTACAGCAACTTTAGGAGTTAGTGTGCACTTGTGTTATAACACTGCCTGCGGTAACCAATGTTGTTGTTGAGGTTGTGCTGGAACATCAGGATCTGGCCATTCAAACATGACCTTTAAGTCAGGAGGCAAAATAAACCAGTGCCAGTTATTTTTTTTTTTTTTCTTTCCTGTTCCTCTAAAATTGCTCACGTGTTCAAGCAATAATCTCACTGATGTGCAGCTCCTTGCTCCTGAACTGGTGGCTCCTGGTCCTCATTTTGTGGATCCATATGGGACTCTGCATATAAATGAATTCTTCCCCTCCAGATCCTGTTGAAAGAATTGAAGTAATGGCTTTTACGTTTTGCCCACATTTTTATTCAGTGGTTGGCGAACGATTCTTTGCACTGTGACAAACCCTTACTGCATGCCCACGACAATTTCAGTTTTGCAATGGCATGACACGGTTGCATCACCAAGTTTCACCCGATGGTGTGAGATGGGTGTCACTACGTAAGCTACACTTGTGGACAAGGTGTAATTTCTGGCCAGAATGATATGTATGGAATGTAAATATGTTCCATCACCAAGCTTGTCTCACCCCATCTCGCCGTTCCGCACCTCCTGCAGAGACAGCACACTAAAGGGATGTTAAACAGCACAGGRGGAGCCGTGAGCTCTCGGGAAGGTGTGTGACCCAGGGTGCTCCACRAACAACCTGGTGCTGAACGCTGTGGGAAACTCATGAAGAAACACGCGTGGGACCACGGTTCAGCTGCAGACACACCAGGTAAGCACCTCACCTTACCCAATCCTGCCTCAGTTTCCTTGCCTGGAACACGGCTGCGGCCCTTGGTTCCCTTGCCAGGCACAAGGAGATGCTGCCAACAAAACGAGTTGGGAGATGCAGCCAAGAACAAGTRTTACGTGGCAGCGGCGCTGCTGTTGATTATATTTCCCCTGGCCTGTCGTCATCCCCGTAGTTTCCTTCCTAGCTCCACCCTCACCCAGGGCTCTCCAAGGCAGTGCTGCCAGTCCCCTGCCCCCTGTCACCACCATCCGCGATGTCCCTGGGGTTTTGGGTTTGGTGGGAGTGGGCAGTTCGGTGCTTTGATCTTGGGCGGAGAGGGCRGGCGGGATGCAGGTCCGGGAGGGGTCGGGGATGCTCCGAGCGCCACGACCCGCGCAGGGATGCTCCGGCGGGATGCTCCGGRGAGATGCTCCCGGGGAATGCTCCCAGGGGATGCCCCCAGGGATGCCCTGGGGAAGCTGTGTGTCCGGAAGGGATGCTGGCGSGGGCGGCTTGCGGGAAGCCCCAGAGGTTCGGGGGCGGGCGGGCGGTGGAGCGCGCAGGGAGGTGCCGGCGGCGGCACCGCCCCGGGAGGCGGGAGGGGACGGGGACGGGGACGAGCGGCGGTGACAGCGACCACAGGCACACGTGCCCGGCCGGCAGCGGCGGCGGAGCGAGTACCCGGCGGCGGAGGCGATGCGCGGCTGCGGGCGCTGCTCGGCCCCGGCCCGGCGGGCAGGTAAAGGGTCCCGGGGAGCGCTTCTTCCCCCGGGGAGCGCTCCTTCCTTCCCCCCGCGTTTTAGAAGCGCTTCTTCCCTCGGGTTGCGCTCCTTCCCCCGGGAGCGCTCCTTCCTTCCCCCCGTGACCCAGGGAGCGCTTTTTCCTTCTCCCCGTGCCCCGAGAGCGCTCGTTCCCCCCCGTGCATTGGGGAGCGCTCCTTTTTCCCCGGGGAGCGCTCCTTCCTTCCCCCCGTGTCTTGGGAGCGCTCGTTTCCCCCGGGGAGCGCTCCTTCCCCCGCCGGCAGCGCGCCCGGACACGGTCACCCGGCGGGTTCGGAGCGGGTGCTCATATAATTTGGGATTTTTTTTGTTTGTTTTGTTGTTTGTTTTTTTTTTTAAGTCTGGTGGGTTTCAGCCGCTTTCTGCCAGCTCAGTCGCTCTCGCTGTTCCGCTGTTGGTGCTTCCCCGGGCGCCCCGCAGAAGTGACTTTGTTGTAGGAGGCTCGGGGTTAACTTCGCTTTTTGCTGTGGTGCTGCRCCAGGGGCTCGCACAGTGTGTGAGTAATTCTTTTAGTTGCCGTTGATGTGAGGAAATGATGCTGGAGAAATTCTCTCCTTGCATCTCCCTGTGCACTTGCTGACTGAAGTTGAGTTGGTTGGCTGTTGACTTTGACTGAAGAAATAAGCCACTTAATAGTAATAATAAAACAATGCCTAAACTTAAAAAAAAAAAAAGTGAAACATTGTCGGAAGTGCATTGACATAGCAAAGTTGCTTTAAGGGGATATCTGAGGAAAAGGTAATGTGTAAGGCATAATTCTTTTTTTTGTTAAAAAAAGAGCTGTTCATACGATTCAGTGAGAAATAGGGTGAATTTTCATTGATAYTCACCTAGCAAAACTATGGCAACTGGCAAGGATCCAGTTGGTGCCCTTAGTTTTATGACAGCCAGTTGGTCGAAGCACACTGAGAGCTGAATTGCTRCTTTTAATGCTACGGCATTGAGAAAATAGAAGTTTTCACCTGGAKATCTTAGAATTAATTTACTGTGATTAAACTGAAGAATTTGTCATGTATTTTGCAGTAATTCTCAGGAGATGATACTGTTGAGTGGGCYGATTTAACTGTCAGGATGAATGGGTGTATTTGAGTAATAATCTTACTTGTTTGATTTCTTGCTGCTGTTCAATGCCATCATAAAACAGCTTATCACAAAGCAAATAAACTTGCATGTGCTGTAGCCTGAAGATGGATTCAGTATGTGTAGTTTCACTTTGCTGTAGCTGTGGGAAGAACAATTTGAAGAAAATGGTGCAGAGAGGATTTTTTCATTTTATTTCTTAAAATTTTTTGCACTTTTTTTAATAGGAGTGGTAAATTTTATGCTGTTAAGTTTAATTTTGATTATATTAAAGAAGCTGTGAGATGGTTTGCGATGTGTGGATTTAAGGTGTTAATTACRAACAAGGGCATGAGGAGGGACACTGCTGTCAGTGACAGGAAGGTGGGTGTCTCAGCATCCCAGGGATTCCTGTAATCATCCATCATCCCCTCTTGGGACAGTCCATCAGGCTGTAACAGAGCTAGAAGTGTTACTTATGTCATTCAAGGTAATTAAGGCCATAACTGGCTCAATTTCACTGCAGGTTTTTTTCCCAGTGTCTGTTGCATTAGGTAATGTAAGTGGCTGCTTTTGGACTAACTACACTTCTTGAACAGATGATTATTAAAAAATTTACCTGCTCAGGCAAGAAACTCCTGAGGAGAATCGTTGTTGCACTTTGGGTGTTGAGGTTCATTGGGATTTGGGACCTGCTGTGATGAAGCTGGGGTCAGGTCGTGTGTGTGGCTGGAGTGGGTTTGGGACAGGGGATAAACCTCMCCCCAGAAGCTTCTTGGTTCTTCCCACTGATATTTCCTGAAAAGAAGTGTCTGTTTCTGCTCCTTCAGTCTACACTGTGCCYGTTTGCCCATCTCATCTTTAATTTCTTGTAGATAGCTGAGGGCTTCCATGAGGCCTTGGTCAGAGGCTGTCAGATTCAGGCAGGATGTGTGTAACTAYTTGTGCTGCTACTTTGCTGTGAGAATTTTGAGTTTTTATCTGTTTTGCTCACCATCACCATTATAATGAGCTAATTTTAATATGGGGCTTTGAATTCCAATCTCCCAAGGTACAGAAAGTGGGGATCTCATTAATATTATTTGGCTGGGGTCCCTCTGTCTGGGCATGGGGGAGAGGGAAGCTTTACCTTAGCAGAGGAGAGCAAAGCATGGCAAGTATGCTCTGCATTTCCTCTGTGTTGTTTCCACCCTTGAGTGGAAAATTGCTCCTGATTTCCTCAGATTTGGAGGATTTACATTGGCACTCTTCCCACATTCCCATTTTACTTCCAGTTGTACTTATTAGATAACGTGCTTGCATAGAAGCTTGTTTATAAGAAAAAGAACTTTTTTTTTTCTGATCTATTCCTATTTAACTTAAGCAGTTAAATGTTCCCTGGGTTCAAGGGATCTGTTTCTTAAGATTTTGCAGGATTGTGCCTTGAACTCTGATTTTAAATTCTGTATCAGCATAACAGCTGAGTGCACCTCTATTTCCTAATSTGTTGATGCTGTAAAATCAAATCATAGAACCAGATGGAATATTCATGTTTAGATCATCTGTGTCTCAATAGCAAAGCTTTCTTTCTGTATTCCACTGTAATCCACGTAAGATTGTCTGTAATCCAAGTAAGGATTAACTCCCCGTTGTCTTCTGTGTGAGATTTCTAATGAAGACAAAGAATGATGAGGGAAACTGGGCCAGGTCTCCCATGTTAGAGCAAATGATTGATCACTTTTTATGTACCTGGTAATTTCTGCCTTGGAGAGATTAKCTTGGGTGTAACTACAGGTTTACCAGCATAGCCTCAGCGTGGGTTGATTGCTGTGTGGGCAGATAGTTTTGGTCCAATTTAGGAATCAGGAGTAAGGAAGCCTTGTTGATGGAGAGTTTGCTTCTGTTTGAGGTTCTCCATCTCCCCTGGATATTGGGTGTCTTGTGAGCAGCAAGGCTCTGTGGATGTGCCCTCTGTCCTGCCCTGAGGATGCCACCTCCTAAAGCAAATTTGACTTTTGGCACCTCTCTGGTCACATGTCTGGCTGTGCCAGGGTAAACACTCGCAGGAGTATAAYTGGATTTACATTAACTCATCAAAAAGCTACTCTGGAGTGATAGAAAGGAGGGTCTTGCTGTAATTTTTTTTTTTAAATATTTAGGAATCACTAACTTTTCTAAATCAAAAATGTCAGTCCTTTAAAAAGGTACGCAGCCAGAGGTAATTTTCAARCCCTTTAAACTGTTTCTTTCAACTTAGAAATTACTTGGTAAAATATTTGTAAAGACTGTAGAAAATAAGATGTTAATTACCTTTTTYAAGGTARTTAAATTTTCTTGAAACATTCCTGGGTGGTTTTGAACTTAGGTTGTTTTGCACTACAATTACATATTCAGACAAATCAATTATCTCGGAGGAAAAAGAAAGCCTGTGGTGTGTGCCAGCTCAGATGTTTGGATGGTGAAACATTAACCAGGTTCCTTGAATGAACCTCTTCTTCAATTAAGAGACATCTTTCGAGGGGAGAATGTTCCCACTTCTGCAATCTGAGTGACGTGGAGTAAACACAGAACAATTACTTGTAATTTCACATAACTCAAGCTTTTAAAGAGGTGAGAATAAATGAGGAAGGTTCAATGACTTTTTTTTTTTCCTAAGGTCATTTTCAGTTAAAAGAAATTCTTGTAGCTAAATTATGCTTCTGCTTCATGCAAGTGTAACTTACCTGTGGAACTCATTACTCCAATATCTTCCTGTTGTTAAAGATATAAATGAATTTGWAAAGTTGTTTGGCAAATTAAGATAGAAAAGTACGCTGGGGCATTAACCACAAAGATGCAGATACAATTTCTAGTTGAAGCAGCTCCTACATCAGAGATTGCTGGAAGCCAGGAGATTATTTTGCAGGCAGAATCACGGGATGATTTCCTGACCTTACAGTCTTCCCCTGAGCATCTGTTTTTGGTCAGAGTTACAGGCAGCTTATTGGACTGAGTGGATTTTAGAAGTGATATGGTCCCCTTGCARACTGTATGTGATGGAAATTTGGATGTGTTTTCCTGGATCGCTGCTGTTTTGTCTGGAATAGTTTCAAGCAGGTGAACATTAGATGCAACTTCAATTTTCACACTTGGGGAAAAGACCTGAAGTAGTGTGCTTAATGCTGTGTTTCCTTAAATTTTGATTTACTGGCTTTTCATAAGCATTATCTGTCARTAACACAGATGGAGTTGACCTTTTCCAAGGCTGCACTACTGCTGCAAAACTGCATTATGAAATGATTGGATTAYTGTGGGAAAATCTGGAGCACGTTACAATTTTATTTTTGATTTCTATTTTCTTAAATGCACGCTGCTTTTCTTAGAAGACTTTTTTTTTGTTGTTGCCCTCTTCACACAAGCAGCCTGCTGACCTTTAGGCATTATTTTAACCCTTTTGATTCTTTCACTGCCTCCTGCCAAACCCTGGGTTGGAACTGATGGGGACAAATTCTGTGTCTGTGGCTTTCCTATTGACTTCGGCTGCTGCTTTTCTGAGGAAAACAGACCCTGGAGCTGGGAGTCTTCAGGCTGATTGTGGAATTGAAGCTGGAACTTCCAGATGGATCACTCAGGTGTCCAACCTCCCCTGCTCCCAGAGGGGACCCTGGTGCAGGTAGATTGGATGCACACTGTGACCACATTTAAAGCAGAGCCTCTTGGCTTTTTAACCACAATTTCTGATGGTCTTTAATTAAAATTAGCTATATTTCTTGCTTGCTGCTRGTGTTTTGGTCAGTGCATGGTGTGAGCCTGAGCATGGTGACCCTGGGGGTGACTTTTCCTTCTGCCGTGGTGGGTGCCTGCCTCACATGTATTTACACAGATGCTCCTTCGCTGGCTTGTTTTCACTTTCCCACAAAAACAACTCTCTAAGATGCAAGCTAAATACTAACGTAGGTTTTGAGATCTTTGTTTGGTTTTGTTGGCCTTTTGGGATGGGGCAAAATAAAGGGAGATCTTATTCATATCCTTCCTTTCTGGGAAGTGCTTGTACCCTTGGCAATTCTTCCTGTTGCCCATTCCTAGGAGCTACAGATGCAGTCTGCAGAGTAAATTTTGCTTTACTGGAAACTTTAGGTTTGGGGGAATTGCATTGTTTTGGAAATTCTTGGAATTGTATTGCTTTGCTGCCTTAAGATCAGAGCTAATTTAGAAATAAAGCTTATTTTCTTTTGCGTGTGAATTAAGATACACAAGCAGCTCTGTCTATTCAGAATTTGAGTGTCATTCTCTCCTCCCAAACAGATAAGCCCAGCTTCTAGAAGTAAGTTTCTAGCCAGGATGGGTATATAATCTATATTGTTTGATAATCTTTTAATGGGGGTGAATGAGAATGAGGGGGCCATGCTAATTTATTTGAGCAGGCATTTATCAGCTTTGCCATTGATGTGGAGGTGGTGATGATCTGGAGCTGTCAGCRAGGATGGGGCAGTCTCTCTCTCAGCTCACTTTATCACGGCTGTGAAAGTTTTTCTTTAGAAGTCTGACTCATTTGGGTTTAAGTGAGGAGGGATTACAGAGCTCAGTTTGTTGGAATTTTATTGGATGCAGGTTCTCCTTGAAGTAAAATCTTAATCAACCTAATGGGTTTGACAGCTTCAAATAAAAATACCCAAATGAATGAACATAACTCATCCCCTTGTCGCTGCTTCCCTGGGTTTCAAGAGGAATGTTTTTTTGCTGTCTTCCCTCATGGGAAACATCTGCAGAACGAAATTGCAGATCATTAATGCTCCTTCAATAGCAGGCTTTGTTCCCAGTTTCTTCCACTTGGAAACAATTAACTGGAGAGTTTTGTTTTGTCTTGTTTCTCTTTTTGAATGCAAACATCTAATTCCAGTCATATATTCTAGTGGATTTTGTACAAGTCCTGCTATTTGGGATTGCTCGTAATTATTTCAGAATAAATTCTCTCTGCCCAAATTCAGATAGTCAGAACACTGCCTTTGTGGTTGGGGTGTGATTTTAATTTATTTTATTRTATAAGTGGCTGAATATTGTTTCACTCTGTAAATCTGTAAGATACAAATCTCATTAGAAGCATTCAGGAAGGTTTCATTYATGTTCAGTTCAGGAAGGTTTCTGGTTCTTCACATCTACATAGCAACATTTAGCAAAAAATCTGCCTGGCCTTTGATAGTGAGCAAATGAAACATGAAGAAGATGAAACATTCACCTACTTGGGTGCAAAAGTTGAATCAGAAAACCTCCAAATCTGTTTAGCTGACTGTGAGCAGTTTGTATTTCAAGACACTTTGCCAGGTTGGTTATTCCTGTCCTTATCTTCTGCACAGGGGAGCTGGCATATGAATAGTTCTTAAGGCCATTAAAAAATCATAACTACATCTTTAAAGGCTTTATTGACACCTGCTGAAATGTTCTGGGTTTSAGCTTTATGTGATTTTTATCCCTGAGCCAAACCAGGAAATTGTATAATTATGACAGCTGAATTAAAATATCTTCTAGTMAGTGTTCACCAGAACTAAACAGCCATGATTAATAAACTCAGTGTTTTTTTGGTTAATGAAGGGCTAAGTAGTCATAATTTATGCACTTAACATAGACTTTGAGAATTTGTGAATGGGGCACGATAATGACAAGTGTAGTGGTCAGTTTGATCTGTTATAAACTATCCTGCCTGGAGCTATGTTTGCATGAAAGGAGGATTAAAAACAAAAAACCCACTGTGGTAGCAGTGCACAAAGGAGCAGCCAGTGTGGTTGGACAGCATGAGCAAGAGCTGTAAATATGCTTAAGGGAAGGTATTTAAAGTTTAGCAAACTACCCCACCCTGCCTATGGACAATTTGCCCCAGATGAATCAGGGCCAAATTGTTTTTTAAGATCTGCATAATGTGTCTGCAGGTTTTCACGGAGYAGGTTTGTCATATAGAAACATAGAAAAACTGAAAGTAAATTTTAAATTGCTTCAYCATGTGTCATCCTAGCTCAGCGATGTCAGTATTGCTGTTCTGTGGAGCTTTTCTGATTAGATCACTTCCAGGAAGCAGAATTAACTAAACCAGGCTTTGCTGTAGTTGAGGTTCTCTGAACTTCTCCAGGTAAAGTCCTGAACAGGTCACTTATTATTCACCCCAGCAGTGTATTCTGATATTTTAATTTTTGACCGTTTTATTTAAGCTTAAAATAGTTTCCGGAATCATAGTTGTGGTTTTCATGATGATGATGATGATGTAAATATTCAGGGACTAGAGCTTTAGCAAACCGAAACCCCAGTGTCCCTTCCAGCTTTCCCAGGGTGGTGCACCACTCCAGATATCTAAGTGCTGTTTCTTTCTGTAGGGAGATTTGTGGCTCTTGCAGAAAAAGAGGACCCTTACTGGTGCAATTCCCTCATTCAGTGCTGTACTACAACACACCAATCCCTTTTTTCTTTAAGGTTCTTCAGCCTCCTACCTCTGGGAATGCAAAACTGATTCATTTTATCTACAGGTACACCCAAGCCATGTGGAGATGTTAAATGTGAGAGGACATTTGATCATGCAGGTCAGTACAGATTCAAAATAATCTCAACTCTCCATGTGTCCAACTCTCATGGTGAGCTCTGAGCCTGGCTTGTGCCATCTGACTGCTGGGAAGAGGAACATGTGGGAGTAAGGGGAAAAAAAAAAGGTAAACCAACAGCTTAGTGCAGGTTTTGTCCTGCTCAAGTTATCATCAGGGCATTTTTATGAATCAAAAGTGTTCTGTTTAGGTTATTTTGGTAAATTTTTAAATAAAGAATCACACAGCGCTTTTAATAGATCTTTCCTCTATAGTYCTGGATTTTGATAAGAAGTGTGACAGTAATAGTGGTTATTTAGGGAGCAGTGCTGGCACACGCACAAGTAATTTGCATATGGCCACAAGCTTCTTTTATTGAAATATATGGTTGAAGTGCTAGTAAAAGGCACTGGTTGATTTGGCCTCCAGTGGAAATGATTCTCCAATTTCCTTCCTAGGTTTGTTTTGCCTGAGAGCTATGGAAAGGGAGGATCTATTTCTGTGCACCTCTTGTTATAAAAATAAACCTTTTGTTATGAGGGAGGTGAGCAGGGGCTTGGAGGAGAGAGTGAGGAGGAAGGAGGAGGCAGGGKTGGATTCCCCCTCTGGACCTTCTCCTACAGGGACCAGCACCTTCAGCCTTTGTGTACCTGCCTCTGTCCTGGTTTTGTGTTGCCCCTCAAGTAGGCCCTGATGAACCTCAGTTATTTTAGAGCTCTTTTAATCTCATTTTTACCCTGCTTGGAATTGCACCTCTCTTGCTGCTGCTCAGCTTTCCCTCTTTTCCTGCTCCTCGAGGTGCCCTGCTCCAGGTGCCACCGTTCCCTGGGATCATCTGACGTGATTTGGAACAACAAGGTGAATTATAAAGCAGATTTGGTCAATGGTGAAGAAGTGTCCARATTGTTGATGTGCTCTCAGCACATGGCCTTCCAAGAGCAGCCTCTGTCCCTCCAGGATCTTTCTTGGGAGTCTGGTTTGAGGTGCACATCACCCTGTGTTGTTGTCCAAGGCTGCATGGAGCAGATATTTGTGCAGAGGTGTCCCTGGAGAGATCTGATGCTCAGCAGGTAAAGATCAGTGTAAAAGATCATGTTTGATTGTACCATTCTGGTACAATCCCATGAATTAGACTGGAAAGGTTGAAAGGGCCTTCTGGCTTACGCAGGTATAATTTCAAGCCCACAMTATTTTGAAGAAGGCTGAAAGAGTGGAAGGAACTTGTGAAATATGTTTGCAAAAATGCACCCAAACACTTCCTCCTTCATTTCCTCTAKACATACTCATCATTTTTCTTCTGTTTTAGAAGAGACAGAAGCAAAATGAAAGCAATACTTTCATAAGCTGGAGGCAGGTGCAAGGTATTTTCTCAGTAGCTTTCACTATCAGATGCTATTTTAAGRTGCTTGTAGCAGCTGGTCGTTCTCTTACTTCTTGGAGTGACTGTCTGCTCATAARTGTTGGGAAAAAAGCCCTCCAGATTGTGCAAAAGAGCCTCTGAGAAGTTAAAGTGTTCCTGTTCCTCTCTTGTGTGACAAGTGCAGGGGGATGTGTGGTTGTTTCATGTGTTTATGAAAGATGAAACTCATCACGTTTGAGCCAATTAAAAATCAAAAAGCCAGGCACGGGATCTAAAAGCCCAGAGCCTACAAACCCATCAATCTGTGAAAAAAAAAAAAAAA